GATGATCATTAATTGAATGTCATCAGATATCTGATTTAACTGTACTGATTGAGATTCTAATTGAAACTTTTTAAATTCTTCTAATGATAATTCTTCATTATCATGACTTTTAGGATTATAAATTATATCATGAAACCATATTGCATATTGAACAGTTTCTAAACTTTTTAATCTATCTTTATAGGTAATTGATAATCCAATTAATTCTCTAATATGATTTATAGTATGATAATATCTTTGTGATTCTGAATATTTTTCAATTATAGCATTCCACCATTTATTACTAATTTCTTCTGATATTTTTAAATTGATTGTTTAATTGTCTCCATTTACTTTCTAATTCAATTTCATTCATTTTTTTAAAAAAATAAATGAAATTTTAAAATTTTACAAAGTTATTTGTAATAAATTACATTATTTTAAATAATTTAATAATTCATTGAAATTCTATTCTGAATTGAGTTAACTTGATATTTTGTAAATACTTCGAAATTTATAATTTTTTTTAAGTTATAATAATTTTTTTCATTTGTTGGCTTAAATCACAAACAATGAAAACCGGAAAAAAAATTACAAACAACAAAAGAAAGAAAGAAGATGAAGTAGACGAAGAAGTTCAAGAACAACCAGAACAAGAAGAACAAGAGGAAAATAAAGAAGAAGAGGAAGAACAAGTTGAAGAGGAAAAAGAAGAAAAATCTAAATCAACCAAACAACCAGTTACTAAAAAGCTAAAAGAAGATAATAGTGATGAGAAAAAAATATCACTATCTAAAAAGAATACATTTCTATCATTTTCTAATTTTGGTGGATATGATCGTGTAGATATTAGAGAATTTTATGAAAAGAATGGTCAACTATTACCTGGACAAAAAGGTAAATTTATAAAACGGAGATCACTTTTAAAAAACACATCCTCTTATTTACTAACACTAATCATTAAAAATTATCAGGTATTGCATTAACATTTGAGGATATTGAAACTATTCATAATAATTTTGAAAAAATTATGAGTTGGAAACCAGCCAATTATGATCCAAATGCCAAACCAGCACCAATGAAAAGAGCAGCTCCAAAAAAGAAGAGTAAATAAACTTTTATATCAATAAGAAGATTCTACTCAAACTGGACAGGTCATTTTATAAATTTAGGTTTTCAAAGAAATAACAAAAAAAAAACAATATTAATTATTAAACATTTAACACACCACACTCACCCACACCCACCCTATCTCTAAAAATTTCACAAAACCAATCTTTTAATTTTCCTTATTATTCTTTAGGTGTTGAATATATATGTATACAATTATTAATAATGGAATATAGAGTTTTAGGTAAAACAAATTTAGAAGTATCTATATTAAGTTATGGTGCATCACCACTTGGTGGATTTTATGGTGATATGGATGAAAAGAAACAAATTGATTCTGTACATTGTAAGTACACTAATAGATTTGATGGAAATTGCATCCTTTTATATTAATGAAAATAAACTAAAAGATGCAATAAGATCAGGTATCAATTTTATAGATACATCACCATATTATGGATTAACTCAATCTGAAATTATACTTGGTAAAGCATTAGAAGTCATACCAAGAGATAAGTTTATTATGGGTACTAAAGTTGGACGTTATGGTAAAGATAATTTCAATTTCTCCTATAATAGAACTATAGAGTCTGTAAATGAATCTCTAAAGCGAATGAGATTAGATTATCTTGATATTGTACAGGTACATGATATAGAATTTTCAGATTTAAATCAAGTGGTGACAGAAACCCTACCAGCATTGATAAAATTAAAGAATCAAGGTATTATTAAACATATTGGTGTTACTGGCCTACCATTAAAATCTATTGATTTACTAGTTGATAGTAACATTTCACCAGAAATTGAATGTATTCTATCATATTGCCATCATTCATTAAATGACAATTCTCTAACTAGTATCATTCCTAAACTAAAAGAAAGGAATATTGGTGTTATAAATGCATCATTTCTTTCTATGGGAATGTTAACAGAACGTGGTCCACCAGATTGGCACCCAGCATCACCAGCAATTAAACAAAAGTGTCTTGAAGCTGCAGAATATTGTAAACAACATGGTGGTAATATTTCAAAGTTAGCATTACAATACACATTATTAAACCCAGATATTCAAACTCATCTAGTTGGTATGCCATGTATTGAAAATGTTAAAGAAAATCTTCAAACTCTTACAGAACCAATTGATGAGATATTACTACAAACAGTTTTAGATATTCTTTCACCAATTCATAATCAAACATGGCCAAGTGGTAAATTTGAAAATAATTAATTGTATTATTTGTAAATAAATTTTTGTGTAAATATGTAAAATATTTAATAAGAAGTTTTTATTTGTGTTTATTTGGATTCTTTTTATATACTGATTGGAAAATGGATTTAATTTGATCAGAACTAACAGGTATGGTTTGTTCATAACATTTTTGTGTAATCTCTTGGAAATGATCATATTTATCAATAAATACATCTTCTAATTGTAACCAAATTACCAATATCAATGGTGAATCTTTAGTAATCTTTTTATAAATATTTAAAAGTGCTTTTGTTAAACCACTTTCAATCTAGTTTTAAGATGTATTAGTATCACATTAATATTTTAATATTTTAAAAGGTAATATATTTGTACATACATTTTCAGTTTTATACTTTTCAACCATTTTTTTAAATTGTTGTTTGGTATGAGTTTTTTGAAATTGAATATCACTTGGTGGTAGTGTTTTAAGAAATTCATCAATTTCTTGATAGAAATCCAATAGTGGTTGGAATTTAAGTGATAATAGATAATTGATATAGGTAGTAAGGTTTTCTTGATATCTATTGGTTGAGGTATCACGATACTGACGAATGGCATCAATTTTCAATTCATCAAATTTGGTGGAGAGGTAATAGTAGTTTTCCAATTTGGCAATAAATTTATACTTGGCATCAGATGATGGTAGTTTATCAGCCAATTGATCAATCCAATTGTACAGACACACAATGAGTTTAAAATAGCTACTGTAGATTAGTGAGCTGATAGATTCCATTTCAGTCTTTGGTCTATATTTCTCAATTTCCTTTACAAATAATGGGAAATTCTTAAAATGGGATAAGACTCCACATTTTTTCAGTGAAATTTGTGTTGCTTTGATACTATCTACTTGTAAATCAATGAATTTGTTGAATAGTGATTTCATTGTTTTTTGTACTTCTGCTAAAACTTTTTGTAGATAACTACTGTATTCTTCATTACCAACTTGACTATGACCACTAATATATTCCTCAGTATCTACTAATGTTATCAATAAATAAAATGGATTAATTTGATCTGCTTTCTCTACAATTTCTACAAGTTCTGGTATAACACTTTCAAACATTTCCGATAATATTACATCTAATGGTTCTTGAATTAATCCACCAATATTACTACCATGTACTGTTGCATTATTATTATTACTATTACTATCAGAATGATGTTTTTTTTTAGGGGGATCTTTCCAAAGGAAAAATGCTAAAAGGAATTTTTGTTCGGACATTATGGATTGTTCTAGACATGAGAGTGCATATCTAAAGAGTTTTTCAATAGTTCTCTTTTTTTTACCTGTTGCATTCGCTGATATTGTACTACTACTACTACTTGTAATGTCATTTACAGTTGATACCGGTTTAAGTTTAGCTGAATGAAAGAAATCATTCTGATCTTTTGATTCCTTTATAAGAGTATGATTAATCTTTGAGAAATAGTCTTTAATCTCACTCTTGTAGGTGTTTCTATAGGCTTTGATATAGAGTGGAATGAGTGGTTGGAATTTCTCAGGATCCAGTTCCTTTAGCCAGTGAACTAGTGGTCTAAAGGTATTTAGAAGATTAAAGAATCCAGTATGTTCTGGTAAATCTTCATCAGTAGATTTCACCTGATAATCTCTATTGGCATCACTAACTTTAAATGCCGATTCAATTAATTTACTGACTTTTAATGAAAATGTTACTCTGTAACCTTCGAATGCTTTTCTCTGATCTTTAACTGCAACCATATTATCCATACCAGATTTTAGTTTGGTTGTTAAAGCCTTCTTTAGATCATTTGCTGCTTTTATTGCAGTTTCTAGACCTGTTGGTGTGTTGAATTCAGGACTTGTAAGAGCTTTAGTTGTCTTCTCATCCAAAGTCAATAGATTCAATAGATTATTAAGTTCCTGTAATAGAGATCGTTGATTTCTAGATACAACTTCCATCTTATTATTCTTACTTTCTATATGTTCAATATACTTTTTCATATTTTGTAATTGATTATTGTAGTATTCAATCCATGCAGTGACACCAGTGAGATGTGTTTGATCCTTGTCACCTAGTTGAGATATAATCTCACTTACACCTAAACCACTATCTAAAATATCAACTACCATACCAGATTCTAAATCACTGAGTTGTTTACTTAGTTTATCAGTCAACAAATCAATATCAGTCTCTGATTTTAGATATTGTTGTAATATAACTTCTAAATCATCATCTGTAAAATCATTACTATTATTGTTATTACTAACTAATATATCTGGTATTGGTGTAATTTCAATGGTTTGATAATTATTATTTTCATTATTTTCTATTATTTCATTTTCTTCTTCCATATTTTTTTTTGATGAAAATAAAATTTAAAAAATTAATAAATACATGTTAAGTTTTAATTATTATATATTATATTGTAAGTCTGGATTTTTAAAAAATAAATTTGACAGTTTTTTTACTTATAAATTCATGATATTGTTTTTATCAATAATGTAAGAGATACAGTATTAACAGTTACGCTAAAAGGTCTTAAGATGATAGTCATCCATTCCTGACTACCTTTTATGTATACTTTATACTAATCTATTCTGTACTCTTGTGTAACTTGGTAAGGAGCATTCTTACAATAAAAAAATTTTTTTATTAATTTTCGGCTTAAAAATGTAATTTTTTTTTTAAATAAAAGCCAAGTACTTTTGTCCGAGTGGTTAAGGAGTTAGCTTTAGGCGCTAATGGGAAACCGCGTGGGTTCGAACCCCACAGAGTACACATCTTTTTATTTTTTTTAACCCTCTGAATTTTTGGTGTTTTGATCGTGGAATGCGTAGTTATGTATTTATATGGTAAAAAAACGAAATACAAAAATTTCTTTGCTCCACTGTAGCTCTCAAACATAAATATAATTAATTTGAAATCACCTATATATTTTTTATTTAATATTTTTAATATAAATTTTTTTGTATCAATAAGTTCACATTTTAATTAAATTTTAGTTTATTATTTTCCTATATATATTTTTATATATTTTCTCAAAATTTTTTATTTTTTTTTAATTACACTTTTTATTTTTATTTAAAAACACTTGTCATTCTCCACACAAACAGGGAATGACCGACAGAGATAATAATAATGACAACAGAAAAAATATAGAAAAAACCGATCTCTCTTTTGAAGATTTTGTAGACGAATACAATAGAGCACCGATGACCACATTCACAGAAAAAATCAATTCAATAACAGATATCAACGAGCTCAGAAAACTAGTGTTGGAAAAAGAAGAATATATATTTGTTTTACAACAACAAATAGATAAAAA